GAGCTGCTTCCGAGTTTTGGACAACTAATTTTAAGAGTTATTTTACTCTTATTTTTATCATCAGGAAAACATAGTTCTTCATCTGAGTCCGTAAACGGCGATGCCGTACGACACGTTTCTTTAGGAGTGACTTTTGAATTGGCCTTTTGAAGATTGAGAGGTCCGCCTCGTCCTCTCCCATTTCTTCCACTTCTTTGGCTTATAACTCAACAAGTTTCTGTCGGAATAATTGTCTCTTCTTCATATTCCAAGTCGAGGTGTAAGTTGGCCATGGAATCCTCCAACTTGATCAGTCTTCTAGGAGGTTGCTGGTATTCCTCGATATAATCGATGTACTGCTGGATTTTGGTCTTCTGTTCCGATTATCTCTTCTTCTTTCTTCTTCGAGATCTAGACGTAGAAGCTTTTCCTCCTTAGTCCTTATAATATTTCGAACGTTTCTTTTTAAGTGATGTAGGATCCTCCTTAGTCGACTTCTTCAAGCGGAGGAGTCTCGGATCAACTTCTAGTTCTAGAGCATTCTTTTGACGATGCCCCTAGGCTTGGGTAGCCTTTCAAACTTAGCTACACGATCTAATAATTCTTGAAAGGTATTGATCGTGGCCATTGCTAAGTAAGGAGCCTTATGATCGCCAATATAGTAGCTACCTTCAGGGGAATTCTAGTTAACTACAATCTGACTCAAGGAAAATGAAATTCCATATGTGTAAAGCGGGATTCATGCCAACACGCCATTTTTCTTGAGCCAACATCTTGGTGAGAATAATTTTTGATACCGTATTTTTCTTTTCTTATAACTGATCCTCTTTCAGTTTTGATGGCTGTCACGACCCGGCCCGGATGCTCGATCTAACGAGGCGGGTATGAAAAGTTGGACGATAAAATTATTAAACATTATACTGCTTTTTCATTTGTACTGAAGAGCCACTAAAACACAATATGTAGATTACCTGTTGTCATTTGAACGTCGTCTTCTGTAAACATGTTCTTCTTTGTCAGCCATTTCTTCTTTAGGAACTTGAAACATTTAAACTCGTGGGTTGAGTTTACTAAGTAAACTCAATGGGTAACTATTTAAAATATAGATTAATGTATATTCTATCATTTCTTAACTTTATTTCTTTCATTTCATTGATTTATACTTCTTTGGATATTTTCATTTGAAATAATTTAAAATATTTGTTATATTTAATATTTCATTTTTTTATTTCCTTTTCCCATTTGATTTGCACAGGTGCACCATCTCAAAGTACCCAAAGGTACAACCTTTTCCATTTGATTACCTTTTCCATTTCCATAGCATTTTTTTTCCTTTTTTTTGTGCACGAGTACGGCGTCTCCAGCTAGTATCATAAGGGGGTGAACTCCTGTCATTTTCAATACCTTTTCCTTTATTCTCTTTTTTTTCTTTTCTCATTTTCATCCTTATTGTTACCATTGCATACAACATATCTTACATGTATCTCTATAAATATTACTTATTATTTGCATAAACGAATAATATACATATGTATGTTTTCTTTCTAAACTTTACTTTCTATTTTTTTGATATACTCATTACATATCCTTTTTCTTTCCCATAATTGTACTCATACATATTGTTGCTTATTTCAGGTAAACATTTCCAACAGTAGCATAATTCATAAGTCTAAACAATTACATATATACTTCTTTCTAAATGAAAATAGAATTGAAATAAAGAAATTTAAACTTTTATAAATACCCACTTTGAACTTTTCAGGCATTCGATGCTTGATATAACCTTGAATCAATTTACCTCCTTGCTGAATCCTTGATTGATCAACTCTTATAACCTTGATCTCTCTTTCTAAAATTTCTAAATTGTACAATATAACTCTCATGAAATAAAATGATTAATTAACAAAATCTAATTAATGCTATAACATGGAGAATTCACTCACAAAAAGGAATTTTCTCAAAATCCCTTAAATTCTTCTTTCTTCCTCAAAATTCTTTCTCTTTGCTTCAATTCTCTTCCTTTACCTTCAAGAAACATATTGTTCGCTTTAAACGAAGTAAAAGAAGAAAATTTATATAAAAATCCATAAGAAAATCCAACAAACCTTTTTCCTTTTCTTTCCTCGTTCGTTTCTCTCGTTCTTGAAATTCTTCCCAATTTAGTACTTCTGTAACAATAAGGATGAGAAGGAAGGATATCTTTTGCTAAAATTGGAAAACAGAACTTACCTCGCTCTCGCACGAAGCCCTCGGTCGTCCGCCCGATCCTCTATTTCGCGAATACTGTTGTTCCGCGAACCTTCTCTCTGTTCGCGATTTAATAAGGTAGGCTGGCCGGTTCAGTTGAACCGGCCGGATGAACCGGTCGTCACAATGGCGGCCTAGATTTCTCAACAATGTTCTAAAAAAAGTGTCTTTTTTTCTTCAGAATGCTTGATCAGTTGGTAAGAAAATGTGATGATAATTAAATCATGAAATTATCCCACCATATTTTAGTGTGAATACTTTGGATAATTCCATATTGCATGGGCATGCGCACCTTGATAACACCCTATATATTGAAAAGTCACTAATTTTCAACGTAAGTGTTGTTTCTTTTGATTGTTTTTTTGAGATATATGTGATCACAACTTCTTATAAAATATTCAACTCATCATCGATCAATGGATATAAGTACATATCTCTTTTTCCTTTTGGATTATGCGGTCAAGGTATAATTTGTGTGAGAAGTATATATGGTATAGTCATGCGTATTTTAGGTGTAGATTGTTAAGTGTAAGTATTATTGGTCAGCATGAAGGTTATTTGGAGTAAAACCATTAGCACATAATCTAAGCCTAAGATTTTGTGGATTTGAAGTGAACTATGGATGTGCTTGATCAAATTGCTTCTAGGCCTCAACATTAAATGGATAAATTATAACACTTGGTTATGCAATTCTTTCATGATGCTATCTCATGTGATCGATAGAACTCGTAGATGTATAAAATTTTTATAGATGTGTAATGTAAATAAAATAACAGACATCCTTCTGCTTCCACTATTTTACACTTTTTGGTTTAATCCAAGTACATTGTAATGCCTATATTCTATTTTTAGCAAACCATCCTTGAATTATAGCATATAACCATTACTGAAACAACCTTTTTTTTTTGTGCACGCAACCATAATTTGGATACTTATTTTATCATTATGTGCATAGCAATTTATTTTTTTGTGCACTCAAACATAATTTGGATGCTAATTTTTTTATATTGTATAAATCAACTTGAATTAAGTTGTTCATTGGATTAGTTTCTTTTAATGATTCAACAAATTGATTAAAATATTCTTGTGACATGTTAAATTTTATTCTAATGATAAATATCCTAATTGCAACTAATAACTCAGAGTGATTGGTGCAATCATCCCAAAGTAATTGTTGATTTGCACGTAATAATTTATAAAACTTTTGGGCTTTGATATTAGGAGGTTCTTCTGTATATTCTATAAATTGCATGCTAGTTACATCAAGGTCCATCTTTTCGTATGTCCCAATATGTTCTTCATTTATTGGTATAGAGTTAACACCGTATTGAGCATTAGTATGTGTCTCATGCTCTTCGTATGATGTCTTAATCTAATAGTTTCATTGGAATACTCTTTGATATAAATTAACTCTATACCTCATTTTTTAGTTTAGAGCGTGAAAAGTTAAACTTTTCTTTGGATAAAAATGGTGGTTATTGGGAAGTTATATGCACAAAATTTTCAACACCCTTGAGGTTTTCATTAGTTAATCCCTTACGTTAAGGTGATACTTTATATTCACGTTCTTTGGCTGAGAATATATATATATATATATTATAACATAAATTTTCTAAACCCTAAATGAAATCTTAAATATCAAAAATTATATTTGCTTAAAAATTTCATAACCAATAAATATAAATCTACTAAATATAAATTTCACTTAATAGATCCCAGATATGAAAATATTTGTAGATCTACAAAAAAAAATTAAAATTTACCTAAAATATAAAGATTTGTTACAAATATGTTTCTAACCTAAATTGAAATGTAGATATAAAGATTTTTTTTTTTTTTAACACTTTGAAACCCTAACCTTTAGAAGAAAAATCTTAAATTGATTGTTAAATCAGGTAGAAAATGAGATTCACCTATAGATAGACTATTGAATCGGAGAAATCCAGTTAACTATTCCCCAAAATGGACGGTGAAGCTCTCTCGGTGAAATAGGGCAAGAAAGTGGTGGATGCAGCTGAAATTGTGAATAGAAGAAAGCAAACTTGGGTTGGAAAAAATATTGAGAGTTTTCTAGCAGCATTTCTAGTTGAAATTTTCCTATGATGTCTTATTTTCAATTTGTTTTCTTCTTAAAGCCTAGACAGAATCATATGCTAGAATCATGATTATACTAGTTTTGAGTAAGTGTTAATGGATCTTTGTTTAATCTTTCAAACTTATGAGCTTATGTGAAGCTGTGAACTTACATGAGATTTACGTAAGATGAAATGTGCTGCACTTTTTCTCCGCTTATGCTCCTATCATTTGCCTTGCGAAGGAATTAAAATGCAACTTATGTAATTCTATTGATATATGGAACTATCTACAAACTCTAGTTTGTAACTTGGATATTTTTCCTTGTTACTGTTAAGAGCTGGCTGGGGTGGAACAAGTAAGAACTTGTCTCACTCAGAATTAAAGATGTCAGTTTGTGCTAGAGTCAAGTTAAAAATGATTGGTTTCGAATTAATCTTCAAGAAGACTTAAACCCAACCTATCAACTAAAATAAGCATATTTCGTAAAGTTTAATTTGAGTGTATTATATGCACTTGAACTTACAACACGATTAGACATTTATACAGAATTTATGCTTACGGGCATGCATTCTCAAAGTTTTTAAGTGAAAGCAAATCATTTTAATTCTTGATTTGATTACCTTACAGAAATTATGAATTCAATTTTGAGCTTCAACCCAAATTTTCATCCCTAAAAGCTGGTACTCTCAATTTTGAAGGTTATTCTTTTGGTATCTCGATCCATTACTTTTGAAGAATGACATCTCAGAAGTACTACGGGAAATCATGCATAGGCCTTTCCTTTCTTTGAAAGAAGAATTCTATAATCGTCCAACTTGGAGAAGAATTATTTCATGTTTGGCAACTTCCCCATCTATGTTTAGGCAGGCAAGCACACTTTTACATAGCTGGTTTCTTATGACGTAAGTTCTTGGTTTCTTCATGCTTTAGATAGCTTGTTTATTTAATGAAAGTTTTAGCTGTAATTTTGACATTTTACAATTTCACGGCAGTCCCCTCACACCATTTTTCTAATGCATGCCTTAAAATAAAATAGTTAGATTTGGTCTACCTTATTAAAAGAACAAAAAATAAAGTAAAACTCATATATTTGTAGAACACTTTTTATATGTTACCAGTCTTAACAATTTTGTAGTTCTTTGGTAGACTTTAATGGTTGTTGGTTGGTCATTTATGTTGGTAGCTCATTCTTCACAATTTGCTTGTATCACTTTAGGATCCAATCAAATATATTGATGTTTAATGCTACAAGAACAAAAATAAAATAAAGCTCATTACATATTTATAGACCACTTTTTCTATGTTATCAATCTTGATAATTTAGGAGTTCTTCTTTGGTAGACTCTAATGATTGTTGGCTGGTCCTTCATGTTGGCAGCCCATTCTTTACAATTTGCTTGTGCCATTTTAAGATCTAATGAAATATATTGATATTTAGCACTTTAGGATCCTTCATGTTTAACACTGTTGAATATCAATATATTTCATTGGATCATAAAGTGGTACAAGCATATTCTGAAGAATAGGCTACCAATATCAAGGACCAACCAACAATCATTAGAGTCTACCAAAGATGAAGAAGAACTCCAAAATTGTCAAGATTGATAACATAGAAAAAGTGTCCTACAAATATGTAATGATCTTTACTTTATTTTTGTTCTTTTAGTAAGATAGACCAAGTCTACTTATTTTATTTTAAGCGTGTAATAGGTAGGCCATGTCTATCTTATAAACCTGATCTATCCAAGTTTTATAAATAGCTCCTATCGTAATCAATTAGTGTGAATGAAAATTTCTGGTTTATTCTCTTGTTTTCCCTCTCTTCTCTCTTTCTCTTGGGAGTCTACACTACTCTAAAGCTACCTCACTTCTTGGCCTCCAAAAAGCATATCCATGGTGCTCTTGTTGCAGCAGCCCGTTTCCTTCCGAGCCACAGTTCCCCCACAATGCCCGCGATTCTGCTTCTCTCACTGCTGCAGCTGTACTTCAGTACAACATACTTTCCCCTGGAAGCTGAAACAGCTCAAAGAACTGTCCAAGAAAGGCCCTTCAGCATCCTGATAGCCGCCACTACAATCCTCCTGACAATTTCAAGAACTGTTCAGCACATCGCCTCTACCGTTCTTCAGCCCCTAACAGCCGAAACCATCTCCTGGACAGCCCCACATCTCAGCCCCCGAACTGTATCAACTTCTTACCCGCAATCTTCCATCAGCCAACCTCATTTCTACCACTTTCCAAGATTCTCAAGATCCTTTCAGTAGCTCTCTGATAGGAAATACTTGATTTCAAGTAGTTCCTAACCAAAGTCTGAAGCAATTCGTGATAACTCCTGCTGTTTACAGCAGGAAAACAGTAAAATCTGGACCAAAACAGAGAAAACCGGAGAGAAAAAATGTAGAAAAACTCGCCCAAACAATTGTACTTTACTAGTAGATGAAAGAAAACTTGCAAAGATACAAAGATCCTCTATTCGAGAGGAGGATCGCACTCTCCAAATCTCTAGAATTCGTTCTAGAGCCCAAGCCTCCAAGAAAACCCTAATTTGCAATCAAACAAAACATAATCCCTCCTAAACTCCCTCCTCTCACTTAATACCAAATATTTCCTAATTGATTTTCCCTCCCATTGCCTAGCCACCCAGCCCAATTTGAAAATTGCATTAAGTGGGGCCCTCATGTGGGCAGGCCAGAAGATGGGAGGCGGACTGTCCGCCTCTTGTAAACCTGAACCGGCCTTTTGTCCGGTTCTGCCGGTTCCTTGTGAACCGGCTGCACATCACTCTCCGATTATTTTTCTATAGGATTCAACAACCTACAAGGATTCAAGTTTTTTTGTCAACCCACATTTTGCCTGCACATGAACCATATTTTTTTACAGTTTATATCAGGTTCTTTGTTTTCTTGTTCTTTGTTGATTGTTTTCTCTTTCTTTTATTCTACACATTCTAGTCGTTTTCTCCCTTTTTATTTTGATACAGGTACCAATTCTTGCAACAAAGAATTTCATCTTTTTAAAATTCAACATGAAGACTGCGGATTTGGCCTAAGCTTTATGCTCAATGCAAAGTAATCATGACTTGCATCTTTTTGAAATCCAAAATCGCTCCGACAAGCCGACGTCCAATTCACTTCCATTTGCACCTCTATCCAACAATTTCAAACTTTCATTGATCCATTAATAAGCCTCTTGATAGCTTATGCACTGACCGACCACCTTCCTTTCATCATCAAGGTCCTGCTTTCTCCACTGGCATTCTTGGATCCGCCATCCCCTTGCCTAATTCACAACCGATCCCCGTTTCTCCAGGTTTTTCTTATCTTATAATTATGAAAATCGAACTTCCTCACTTTAATGAATCTTATGTGAAAACATAGATCTTTAAAGCAAGAAAATACTTCGATTTTCCTAATACTCCTGATTGTTAGTCTATTAGGATTTCTTCTTTTCATTTGGAAGGTCTCATTTCTACTTGGTATCAATGGGTTAGGATGAAATTTCAATTTCTTTCTTGGTTTGATTTTATTTTATCTTTACAATAATGATTTGACATTTCTTCTTATGGAGATTTACATGGGAATCTTTTAAAATTAACCCAACAAACTTCTGTTTTAGATTATCATATAGCTTTTGAAAACCTTGCATTTAAAATTCTCAATCTTTCGGAATCTACCTTTATTAGTTATTTCTTTTTCGGACTTAAACAAGAATTTTGATGTGAACTTTTACTAGCTCATCCTACTTCTCTTTTGGATTCAATGGAACTCGCTAGACATCATGAATTAAAGATTCAAGACTTCTTTTGTACCCCTATCCCAAATTAGCATTAAACAATTCTTTCTCATCCATCTACCAAGATTATACCTACCTCTTTCCCTCCATTTAGTCTCAATCCCATTCATTCAATCCAACCTTCTCTCACCATTCAAAAACCTCCTAACCGCCCTATTCGCAAACTCCCTCATGCTGAAATTCAACATAGACATGAAAAAGGCTTTTATTTTAATTTTGATGTAAAATTTGGACCCCAATATTGCTGCCCTAATAAATTATACTTATTATTTAGCACTAACAACAGTGATTGCATAGAGTGCCCTCCCTCTATTGGTATTGATGATAATTATGATCTTTCTTTTGAAATTACTGCCTTAGCCGAACAATTTATTCCCCATTCTTTTCGTTTAAATGAATATATTAATAATCATAAGGTTTACATTTTAATTGATAGCGGGGTGCCAATAATTTTATTTAAGCCAATCTTATCCACCAGTTTGCTCTTACACCTCAATCCATCAACCAATTTAAATTTTCAGTAGGCAATAGTAATTTACTATTTTGCTTAGCCAAATGCTGAATGTCATAATTACTATGCAAGGCTTTCGTATCACCTTAGATTCATTCGTTCTTTTCATCCATGGGGTTGATGTCATCCTTGGTATGCATTGGCTACAATCCTTAGAACTAATTTTACATGATTATCACGACTTGACTATGCAATTTCATTTTCAAAACCAGCCACATAAACTTTTTGGAGAATCACCATAATCCTCCAATCCCATTTCTTTTAACCAATTGCATGCCCTCGTTGCTCATTCACTAGCCATCCAATTATTCACTATTCAACCCCATCATCCAAATACCGATCTTGCACCACCTGAGTCTTTAAACAAATATCTAGATAATCTTCCTCGTCCTCTTCATACTCTCATTTCGACATTATTATATGAATTTCAACACTTATTCAATCCACTGCAAGGGTTATCACCACCATGTACCATCGACCATCATATCCATCTCCTATTTATTTAAAACCTGTTAACATTCATCCTTATCGTTACCCACATTATCAAAAGGATGCAATGAAGCAATTAGTTTTTTAAATGTTACATTATGATATTATTCAACATGGTCATAGTCCCTATCCTCGTCAAGAAAAGAGATGGCACTAGCATTTTTGTGTTGACTATCATACCCTGAATATCCTTACTATTAAAGATAAATTTCCTATTCAAGCTGTAAATGAATTGTTTGATGAATTTCATGGAGCCTTTTTTTTTCCTTTCTGAACTTGACCTTTGTTCCGGATATCTTCATGTCTGTATGCATTCGCATGACATTCATAAAACAACTTTTTTGCTATCACGACGGTCGGGATCAACACTTATGACTTGAATCTTTCACTTTCAAAAACCCTAATTTCAAACAATAACTTCTATCAATATAATATTTTGATTTAAATTCTAAATATCATTAAAACTGAAATTGGAAGGAATTCACTTACACTTTTGAATGGAGACTTCTCAAAACTATCAAAATCCTTCTTCTCGAAATTTCCTTTCTCTCCCAATTTCCTTTTTCTTCGCTACAATCTCTTCCCTAACCTTCAAGAAATAAATTGTTCACTTTAAATGAAGTAGAAGAAGAAATTTATAGGAAAAAATCCGAAAGAAATTCAACAAACCTTCTTCTCTTAATCCTTCTCGTCCGTTTCTCTTGTTCTTCAATTTCTCCCAAAATAACACTCTGATAACGATAAGAATGAAAAGGAATCGTTATTTCTTATCCTAGAAGGTAATCACTTGCTAAAATTGGAGAAAGAAGAAACCTACCTCGCTCTCGCGTGAAGCCCGACCGTCCGCCCTTTCTGTTCGCGCGAACTGCCTGTTCCGCGATTTGTCTGTTCGCGGAATTATAAAAGCGGGCCGGCCGGTTCGGTTGAACCGGCCGGAAGAACCGGTTATTACATCTATAGTCCTACTCTAGTACTTCATGTTGATCGCATCCTCCTTGTTTTTCAATGTTTAACTACAAACAAGCTATTTATTAAATTAAATAAATGTAACTTTTGTCAATTCTCCTTCGAATATCTTGGTCTTATTAGATATTTTGAAAGTGTCCAATGGTTGACTAACTCTTTCATCTTTAAAATAGTTTCTCTCCTTTTTCGGGTTTAACGGGCTATTATTGCCACTTCATCTCAAATTATGCTTCTATTGCATCCCCTTTAACATGTTTACTCAAGAAAGACTCTTTTAAATGGAACGATTCTGCTTCTACTGTCTTTAACAACCTCAAGCAAGCCATGACCATAGCCCCTGTGTTATCTTTACCAGTTTTTTCAAAACAATTTGTTAATGAAACTGATGCTTGAATCACTGGTATTGATGCTGTTTTGCTAAAAAACAATCATCCTATATCTTTTTTTGCAAAAAAATAAACACTTGCCTATCCCACTCTTCTACTTGAAAGAATTATATGCCATCACTAAGGCTGTTTGCAAATGCGTCAATACGTATTAGGCACTGAGTTCATTCTTCGCACATATCATAAAAACTTCCATGACCTTCAAACACAAATCCTTCAAACACCAAACAAACAATATTATCTTCACAAACTCTTAGGTTTTAATTTCTCCATTGAGTATAAACAAGGTAAATCAAATATAGTTGTTGATTCCTTATCGTGATTACCCGAAGATAGAGTTCCTTTTCGATCTGCCTTATTTTCACTCTCCACACTAACTAATTTCTTCTTCTTTTTTTTTTTAATTCATTAATCAATGATTTAAAGAAGGAAGCCCTTACATCTTCCGATATCCTTCAAATTACTTCCCAACTATCAAAAGGTGAAATCTCTTCTTCAGATTACCAAATTCGAGACAATATTCTTTATGTTAAAGGTTGAATCTACATCAGTAAGTCTTCTTTTCTAAAAAAATCAAATTCTTACTTAATTTTATTCCACTCCTCTTGTTAGCCACCAGGGTATTCTCAAAACCATTAAATGAATCTTTACAAATTTTTATTGGCTTGGATTCCATAAAGACATCATTTATTTCGTTAATAATTGTCTTACATGCCAAGGAATAAAAACCTATACCTTGCATTTTGTTGGTCTATTAACTCATTTACATCCCGATTATGGTCAACATTTCTTTGTTGGGCTGAACTTTTTTATAACACTTCATTTCATACTACTATTCAAATGTCCTCTTCTCTGGTTCTATATGGTTGATTACCCCATTAATTCCCTCATATCTTTGCAATACTTCTGACATTTTCATTGTAGACACCTTATTAACAAACCGTGATACCCTTTTACAGCACCTTTGTCAGAATATGTCTCAAGCTCAAAATCACATGAAATTAATGGCAGATTGTAATAGACTAGAATTGTTGTTCTCAATAGGAGATCTAGTCATGGTCAAACTATAACCCTTCAGGAAAAATTCTATTTCCACAGAATACATTCCAAATTAACCAAATGATATTTTGGATATTTTCCAATTCAAGATGTTATTAGCCCAGCAGCTTACCGCCTAACCCTTACGTCTAATAGTAGAATTCATTCTAATTTTTGTTGGCTTAGAAAAAAATAGGCGCAAACCTTCCTCTCACAAGTTTAAGGTCTTTATGTTCCCGAGGTAAATTGAATTTTAAATTAACTTTGATTTCATTGGGAGTAATGTCAGGGTTTATTTAGATTTAGGTCTTACTTCCTATGATTGCAAGCCCTCATACGCCAACTGTTAGGTAGACTTGTCCTACCCTTACCTTTTTTTATATTCTTTTTCCTAATAGAAGTAATGAATCCTCCAGGAATATCTTTATGGAGATCATTTATATATTGTGCAAAAATATCTTTGTCCTAAATTTTATTGTAGACCAGCATGATCTGTAGATATTATGCAGCAATCTATTTCGTTTGCATTGTTCAACAATAATGTAAAATTTTCCATTATTTTACTTGATAGCAAAACTGCTTTCTTGTCATTGGATGTTATCTTGCCATCTAGCCATGATGCATTCATGTAAATGAATAGTATAACAAATAACTATTCTTCTATGGTATGTTTTTTTTGCTAATATATGACTTTTTATATATATCTTATTTGTTTATTCTCACATTTTTCACATTTTTTTTCTCATTCCATTTAAAGGAATCTCTCCGCTGACTCCATCCACCTTGCTAAACCTTATAATGATCAAACACTCCTTATTCTTATGCCATTTTAACATTCCACATTATAAAGCTTCATGGCCAATCTCAACATCAAGTCTTGTTGCAATGGAAATTAAATACACCTGAGGATGCCACAAGGGAAAATTTTGCAGCACTATCTTCATTTTTTTGCTTCTCTCAACCTTGAGAATAATGTTATTTTTTATGGCGGCGGGAGTGTTAAATATCAATATATTTCATTGGATCCTAAAGTGATACAATCAAATTGTAAAGAATGAGCTACTAAGATAGGGACCAATCATCAATCATTAGAGTACCAAAGAAGAAGAATTCCAAAGTTGTCAAGATTGATAACATAGAAAAAGTAATCTACAAATGTATTATGATCTTTACTTTTTTTTTGTTCTTTTAGTACGGTAGACCAAGCCTACCTATTTTATTTTAAGGCATTTATTAAGTAGACCATGTCTATCTTATAAATTTAGTCTACCTATGATGTGAAAAAACTAATAATAATAATAATAAAAAAGTATGACATAAGCTACAAGCTCAAAAGTAGAGGCTCTGCATCGTAGCCGTCGATCTGCGCCGTCGGCGATGGTACACGTGTCGAAATCTGATGTCCCCATCAACCTATGTAGTATAAATAGTCCCTATTGTAATCAATTAGTATGAATGGAAATTTTTGGTTTTCTCTTAATTTTCCTTTCTTTCTTCCTCTTTGGAGTCTACACCTACTCCAAAGGTGCCTCACTTCTTGGCCTTCAAAAAGCATATCACAGCCCCCTCCCATCCTTTTCCCCATTCCTTACTGTGGTCGCTCACTTTCTATTGCCAGCCACATAAATATTAATCTCTTTTCTAGGCGAGTGATGTCTATTTACTGTTTTGCTACTTATATGCAAAAAACAGTAATCTGAACTTACCAAGTATTTTAGATTTACTTTAAACAACTCGAGTAAGTTGCTTGCACATGATATTGCTCTGAGAAAGTTTTTTTTTCTTTCCGAATGTTTATGTGGCACTGAATCTGTATTGTGGACCTGTATTTACTTGTTGTTTAGCCTCAGTTTATCTCTAGCATTCTTAATGATTAGGATGGTATTTGTTCCCTTTTAGAATCCGTCAATAAATTCCTTTTTTGGTTCCTGATTGTCCACCATGCAATGTTTGCCGGACTTCATACTTATTTCTTTTCTATATTTCCATTTCTATGCATGTGTAGAAACTCATATTCCTGTTCGTTCATAAAAGTTGCTGAAGACTTCCTAGTGGCACTTTAAATGTTTAAATCACGTAGTCTTCTTCTGATCTTCTAATGGCTCTTTTGAATTGTCTTTGAATTTTCTTCCTCTTTAAAGTTTCTTCAATTAATTGCGTAATAATCTATTACATCGAATAGTAAATTGTAACCTTGTTTGCGTGAAAAATTATGAATAGAAGAATTCTAATTTGTAGTCTGTTTCCAATTAGTTAGTCTTTCAATTTATCACTCCCTTCATTCAACAATTTTCTTCTTTTAAATTCTACCAAGTGGAATTTCCTTTCAAAGTTGCCTCATTATTAGCCTTCTTACACAGCCTGCTCGTTTGTTATTTTTATTAGAAATTCTGCTCGTTTATTATCTGTACGGTTTGTTTGTTCTCATCATACTTTGCTTCAAAATCCCGTCCTTTCCTTCTTATTTTCTACTTCCCCTTAACAACTTCCTAGAAGATCCTTGTTGGGAAAATAATTCTAACATGATTATCAATTTCTATTTTTTAATTGAATATAATATAATGAATAATATATTATCTCGAAAGACAACAAATATAAAAGTATAAATGTTCTCTTAATTATTGTAATTGATTATCATAAAGAATAATAAACAATCTCAAAAGAGTGTCTATTTTTATATTATTTTAAGAATATTTTTTTAGTAGAATTTTTTTTCTAAAGAGCGTGACGAAATTTAATTCCATGCAATTCACACAGAAAGAAAGACTAGGAAAAATAGTTATTTCTAATGCACAATCAAAATAAACAATCATCCTAACAAAGTAAGAAATAAGAGAATAAAAATACAATCCATGGTGGCAAGTGTCACTTAATTACTACCCATTTGAAAAAAAAAAGACTCAATACTCTTTGCAAATCAAATTAGCAGTTTATTTTGAAACAATTTAACCATTCATCGCTATTTGTTTAAGTACTAATTCATTTATTCTTTTCATCTAATATGCGGAGCTCTTCTATCCTCAAGCGAGTATTATGTTCTGTTATAGAATGAAGTGGTGTCCGAACTAATGATAGTCAGGAGATTACTTACAATCACTAATTTATCAGAAGCTCATGATTACTAAAGAATAAGAGAAAACACATAACAAAATCTAAATAAAGACCTGAAATTCTCGGCCAATCTCACTATACTTGGTCTTGGTCCTAGCCCTGGCCCTTGCCCCTTTCCTAACCTGAATATTAAAATCCAAGCCCAACAATAACTCAAAATCATCATTAAAGCTATCAATGCAAGGCTCAGGAATCAATACGCATGCTCATTGCAATAAGTAAAATCAATAGCAATCTATATCATCAGTGAACAATCATCACTAGTATGATTTCATATGATCAATAATGAAAAAAGCAATGATTATTATACTTAAATCTAAAAATTAGCATATGTATGACACTATAAATGCATTGATAATTAGTAATAGTAATCAGTATTTATATTAGTAGGATAATAAAGGCAGTAGAATGGTAAATCCGTACAAGAAAAAGTAACTCAATGGTATTGAAATTATGTGAGTCTATAGATAAATCATAAGTATATATGTGTCAATGTCAATGTCATCAGACTTATCTATCTTAGTTAACAATTAGTGCATGCATCAATGCACACCTATCACTAATCTTTCTATTTATATATTTATATTGGTATATAGTTCAATATATGATTTAGCAAGACAGGACATCCAGCTTTAATTTGGTGTATTCATTTTTTTCATATGTATTCATTATATCCTTATATCATTATCATTATTTGTCATCTTTTATAATTATTATTACACGTGGTTTTCAATAAGTCATTAAGAGTCATCATCCTCTGTTCGTGGTGTAATTTGATCATCAATTACATGCTACAATTAGAATAACATAAAAAATCATATTTTAAGGAAAGCTCATTGGCCCACCCTCATGTGTAGGGTATTATTTTTTTAATAATCAACATATTTTATAGTGTTAAAAGTCAATTTTCCTTGTTTATGCAAATGTCACAATAAAATGTAGTATGCAATATTCAATTTTGTTCAATACAAGAAAATATATATAATATTTTATAACTTTAGAAAATCATAAGTTTTATTTTACCTAGTGAAATTTAATAATATTATTCCTAAAATTTATATCTATTGTATATGAAAAGTTATATGATAAAAGTATGATAAATAAGGAGAAAATGTATTTTTATTGATTTAGAAGAGAACAAATTTGGCAAACTCAAAATCATTAAAATTAAAATGAGATTTGAGTTAATTAGAATGAACAGAAGAAATATCTAAATAAAATATACAGATGAAAGTGACCAAATCCTGACTTTCAATCTCCTCTTCATCTCCCTTTCCTTATCTTCTTCCATGGAAAGCTTAAGCAAATAGGGGAAAGTGGCGAAGTTGGGCTTTTAGTGCTTACGATTAGATTAAGATATATATAAAAATACTTTTAATAGCTTAACACCACAACTCTCAAACGCAGTGTCATAGCGCCACATGTTGAATTTTGGGTTATTGTAGAACAGATACGCAAACTACAGCGCCGTAGCCATCACCGCTAGCCATCATGTTGGCCATCGGCGTATTAAAAATATTAATTTTAATTTGCAAGTAACCAAATATAAAAAAATAAACTCATAAAATTCTTTTATAACTAAACAACTAAGTTTTTCAAATACATGATTTTAGTTTACATTTTATTTAAAACACTCAAATTTCAATTTCCTCGAACCAAATAGAGTTCTTGAAATTAATCATTGTCATATAATATTTAAAGTAAGAATCTATACTATTTATTCATGTAATATATACTTATCATCGAGAATATTCTATTTTATTATATTTTCATTATTGCTTTCTTCTATGGCCTTTATAAGGTATATGTGTATTAGTATTAAATCAATCAAATAAATTTAGCCGTTAGGCCAATTCCGATGGTACAAATTGGTGGACCAGAGCGGTGAAATTTCTAGTAACTTGTATTGGCAGCCTGGCTAGCTAATTTTTTCTGGTGGGATTTGCTATCTGTTTTAAACCAATATTCTGATAGCCAGTCCATCAAAAACATGTAAATATCTAAATCTAACTGAACCATATTAGTCATTTCTCTCTTTGGTCTTTCACGAAATTCTTTGCCCCCTTTCGGCCTCCATCTCGTTGATCGCCAAACTGTTATTTTGGCTTGATTTATTTTCCTCATAGATCTAAAGGCGCGTTACTCTATCTTTTCTCCTTTAAACTTTATTTCGAAACTTAATGAATTGTTTTTTTTTTTTCTGGAAATAACTTTAGGATTCAAAATTTTTTTTGTTAGATTGTTAGATCTAAAAAAAATGTTAATTTATATCTTTACATTTTATATTTATTTATTTAGTTATTTGCATATAGATTTTTTGTTTGATCTACAATTTTTTAGATCTATGTAAGATTTAGATTTGTTAAATATAAATATTTTTTTTAATAATTTGTTAACTTAGAATCTTTAACTTTTTTAGATTAATTTAGAATAATTAAATTTAGTTATTTACTATTCAAAGTTAATTTTAAAA